GCTTATTTGCGTAAATATTTAGAACATAACATACTTTTTGAGTTTTAAGTAGACACACGTTTTGCGTCTCAAAAATTCTTCCAGACCACTTAAAGGTATTTGTTGTATAGAAAAATATGTTACTTCAAATTTTATTCCTAATATTTTACATCAAATAACAAAGTTGTTTTCTTCTCCAATAAAGATCACAATTTCAGTTTGGGTTTTCTTTGTAGCCTGTCGACAGCGAATGAATGCGCCTTTCCGTTGCCTAGCAACGATGTAGCGATTCTCAAAATACGGTCGACCCTTCGAGGAGTGAGAACTTACATAGAGTTTGATAAAATGACAAAGCTTGAGACGGTTTAAACATGATTACAATGTAATTAATGCTTAACAATATTAAATTTATAGTTTGATGATGTTAATTACAATTTCTAAGTAACGCATTTTTAATGCTTGGCAATTTTCTAAGTAGGTTGGGGTCAACACTGAATCAAAATCAAAATCTGATGCATAGCTATCTTACTGTGCTGCAATTATTGGATCGTAAGAACTAAGTAGTTTCGTAATTAAAACAGAGATTAGATGAACGCAGAATTTCTAAAGAAGCACTATAAAAGACTTTATAAACATTCTGCTAAAGTAGTTAATAACAAATACGTCGCACAAATGTACAGCAATGAAACATACCCACAAAGAGTGTAGGTATAAACAGGCAGTTCGCGTGTAGCATTGGTAGCAGAGATTCAAGTGCACTTGTGTTATCACTATCATCATTAATTTTCCTAACCTTTAATCATGACCAGCTTTATCACAGTCGAGCGTCACTAGTGATGTAGGTATCGCGTGATACCCAACGATCATGACAAAATTATCGATAGGTATCGTACCTAAAACGGTCCCATTGGACTCCCTGATTGGCTGCTAATGTCGACAAGATAGTAACTTTGATATATCGAAGGAACTTTCTAGCAATAAATCGTGAATTTTGATGTGGGTGTATCGAATACAAGTATTGACATCCCTGAATTTTATTTAAGAAGTTTATGTTTGATTGGCAAGTCGCGCCGTGTCGCCGTTTGATATAAAGCTAGGTTTACATGACAACGGTAAACGTTATTTCGTAGCCACCAGAACGTGCGTAGTCATAATTGTTTGAACATCTTTTGAATGTATTAAAGAACAATAGACAAATCAATATTGCTTTAATCGTTTTGCACACCTACGGAATATACAAATGCATATACGTGAACCTCTATGAGCATATGAAACAGCGTATGGTATTTATAATTACTCTCGTAGCTCATATTTCAGACACGTGGTCGTGCATTCTAGGAAGCATTCATCTATAAGACACCTATTACGTGAAAATGAGTGAAGCTTTAATTAGTGTGATTTTTTTTATAAATAATTTATGAGTACACAGGGCTAACTGCCTATTCAGAGGTTGTGTAACTCGTATCGTTTTATTTCCGCTACATATTTATCTTAGCCACACGGCTTTGTTGAATGGCCATGATCGGGTTGAGTGATAAGAACCAAATGTTATGCTTGATAATATTTTTAAGAGATATTATAAAAACGTTTCAGTTTACAATATAGTCGTTAAATAGATAAGGAACATCCTTTACATGTGTCTAGATCTGAAACGGTTAATTGTACAACATCTAAAAATAAAGCACTTTTAGTTTATTTGCGTACTGGTTTATAAATACTATCTCAGTGTTCTTTTACTATTTTTTTTTCGTTTTGAACGTTGTTCCACGTGGAATGGCCGGTCATCGGCAGAGACCGTTGACACTTGTCAGAACGCATTAGCCGATACAACGGGTACTCTAACTACAAATAGAACGCCTTTATATAAAAAATGTGCAAAATATTGGAAAGAATGAAGGAAATAGAAATGACTCATCCACTACGCCTTCAGTTTTTGAAGATAGATCAATTATTATTTACGTTGTAACGATCGCAGTTTAGGTCGTAGTTAATTATATTATTTACTTTTAAATATCAAAGTCACCTACGATCTTTTGCCTTTCTAGTAATTCTTAAATCGGATTTTATCAATGATTTGACAAACAATTAGTACCTACTTAAAACATTAACTTTTGTGGCACAAAACCAAGCTTTTTGTTTTTACTTTCTCAAGCAAAAGTTACTCGCCAGTTTTTCCTTTTACTTTACTTTAATAACAGTCGGGAGTCGTCAACATATGTATAAAAATGTTCCACAACATTGGTCTGCTGGGATTTCTTGGCGTAACAGGTTTATTAATGTAACTTGGAATTACTTATATTCCTCACCTGAATATCTTGGAATGTTTTACTGGAAAATTTATTTTCTAGCCCTCTTGTGTCTTTGAAACAGATTCTTTTCGAAAATATGACATCTTATATGTGATCTTGTCTTGATATGTCTTATCTAAATCAATTCAGCAATTCGTCGTGACAAGGAAAAGACAGACAGTGTCTTGTCTCTTTAAAAATTTTAATATTATCATCATTACAAATAAGGAAAATTCTTCAACATGAAAAAACGGCTTCATTATAGTAGGACGCATAAATGGCATTAAAAAGTTGTTTGATTACGTCATGAATGTTTACAAACATTGTTGGAATGATAACAAGCGATCTATATTTAGAAAAATAAATTGATAATATGTCGTTTTGTTGTTAGGCCCACGCTAGATACCTCGTTCTTAGATACCAACATCAATAATTTGATTTCGTGTAGGTACCTACGTTCCTTAGAGTCGATCGTGATAAATATACTCTTAAAGAAAATTCGAGACTCCATATTTTCTGATTCCGCGAAATCATTCGAAGGGCGCTAAGTTTTTTTAGGAACGGTAAAGTACTTAGTAAGTGCTTATTGTACATTAAAGTTTTATTTCTTTTGTATGTAGGTACTTATACTGGATTATTTTCGATAAGTATGATAGACAAGTAGACTGTCTATAAAAAATTGAGCTTGTCATTGAACATTACTCTGATGGGACACCTGATAACCTCTTTTATCGAAAGGTTGGTTGTCGGTTAATCGGTCTGTGTGAAATAAAGTCTGTATTCAACATTTTAGTGCCAATTTGTGCAGTCATGGTCGCCTGAAATCGCTATTTGATTACGGTTGTCTGTCTACCATGTTGCATAGACTAAAATATAAACTATACTGCTTTTTTTAGAGTAACTATCGTATCTCCCATCGTGTAACTTTTAAAGGCCGCCGATTAAAGGATATCGATCGACTTAGAATGTTTATTTACTTAGTATATTTAAGTAGAGACACAAAAACAGTATATTAGTTTACCAACTGGGTCTATTGTAAAATTTGCCACGTTTACACGTAAGTACGTCACTACCATACTCACGAGTACCTACATAATAAGTGCTGTGTATCATGGATTTAAACGTGAAGGTCGAATTCTTTATAACCTCCTCACAATCGTTCTAGTTGTAATGCAATATATCCAAGCCATACCTTACTAGGTACAAGTTTAAACATATTTTAAAGGTCTTCTGCCTCCCAAGTACCTACTTGAACCCTTGACGTGCAATGTCACATCACACCTAAGTTTTTGTAGTTTTCTTGTTTTTCCATATTTTAAAACTAACCTCAACCTTTTTTATACCTTTACTAGTACCTGATTCAAAATTATGCGTATTCTAAATTCATACACACACGTATATCGTTATGACAGGCCGTTGACTTGACATTACAGCCAAATTCTCATGCTATTCCGGAGAGCGTAGAAGTCAGAACGGCAACGTCGCAATAGCCGCAATGGGGCAGCGGGGTCGCGAGGGGGGGAGTGACTAGCAACAGGCGCCTCAGCCACGTGCTCGACGGCCTTGCCACTGCCGCGATGGAAGCTTCGCGCCTTTTTTAGATATATGAAATAATCTAAGCGTCTAATCACTCCAGTGCTCGATTTACGTAACATAAAACACGTGACCCTATTTATTTACTTAGATCGATAGCTTCGTTACTTACTGAAAAATTTAATAAGGTTTTTCGGCCAAAAAAATCCGCTTTTGATACGAAAATCGCTCAGTCCGATCGCGATGACACGACTGGTGCGAATCTTCCGCGAATTTCGTCTTTGTTTACATTTACCGCGCTATCGATTTGGCAAACGACAACATACAATACATGACATAATAATCTAAAGGTAAACATTAAGGAGTCGAGAGCGTTCGCGACCTTGAACGACTTAGTAGGATAAAAATGTGCATGACTTTTATAAATGTAGAGACATTTATACGTGGATACTTGGTACGTTTTGAGGTTAATGAGTTACTGAAACCCACGCTTTGTTCCTTTACTGTCACGGCAATCGAGAGAATAAAATTATTATATAAAATCCTTCGTACTCTAATTCTGTTATAATTATGTAGTCCTAGGTAATGAGGTCAACGCATAATCTTGTCGTGAACTAATCTAGTGTACTGGTTCGCATACGTGATTATTAGGTTTGCTCTATTACATCATCAGGGAAATAGGGCGCAGTAATTCCTACTCGGTCCCGCGGCGAGCGAAGGTCACCAAACGTTAATGACTTCCGTGTGGAATCCTATCTACATATATAATTTATATGCGACGACCGTTCGACGGCGCGGCGACGCGACGCGACGCTAGTCATAGTAGACTTGGGCATACGCCTACCCAAATGATTTATTAAAAAAAATTAACGGCCATAATTTGATGCTCTAACCTGATACAAAAAGTATTATACATTTATTTATATTTATTTTTTACGGCTTACATGAACTATTCAAATATTTTTTCCAGTGTTAAGATTTTGCATAATGAATATTAATTTCAAAGGCATTGTGTTCAGTTGAAATAGAATAAGTAAGTATTTCGTAATCCAAATGTGGAGAATTAAACAATTCCGATATAACATTATCATTGTCCTCTAGCGAGCGACAGCTCGAAGTGTCGGAGATTAGATATGAAATTATCTCGAAACATCGTACGATTACTTTTACGAATGTCAATCGTCCCCAAAAGTCTGTCCAATGACCGATAAAACGTCGACTGTCTACAGAAAAGAAAGTGAAACGAATAAAAAAGTTATAAAATCCACATTTTTCTGCTTTCGAAACATGGTTACTAACTTGGCAGACGATGGAGATACTGCAAATATACATTGCACCAATAAATTGGTCGAAATAAAAAAGTGCTCTCCTGTGACAACGTTTTATTCATCAAATGCCTTTGGAAGTGAGCTTTATGCAAAACTTGGGAAACGTCTGCACTCTCCGCTTGGCCATTATCCAAGTCAGATGGACTTGATTGAATGTATTTTTTTAAAGTTTTCACTTTGAATCCTTGTGCCATTTAGAGACTAAAACATTTCGCAACAGTCTTCCTTTTTGGTGAAAGTTTATTTTGAATTTACGCAATATTAATGTGCATTTTTCTTGTTTCAGGTAATTAATTTGGAATCAAGCTTTTAAGTATATGGTAAGGTATTTTAAGAGTGTGACAAGAATGAATTTTCTAGTGAGCAAAAAATTCTAATAACAAACATGAACAATGAAGGATTGAAAAGCTATTGAACTAAAATAACTATTATGAATTTGTATTACCCATTACCAACTTAAAAGACGAGCAAATCATCACTGAAAACTTGCATGGTCGCAAATTGAGTAGGCTTAGTATCGTGCGACTAAACAGGTGGGCCCTGATGCATCCACTGTTGTACCGATATCGCAGATAGCACTATTATTACTCTACCCACTCGGCTTTATTAATGCCCTTCTATTAATATTCACAGGTGCGATACGAATATATACGATACATAATATGCCTATGAGAATTTGAGAATTCAAACGCCTATGTTTGGTTCGACTTTTGTAATTTAGGCTTACTATTTGCAATTCTTCTATAGCTGCAGTGAATTTAATTGCTTTTTATAAATGCATACGTCAGTTCCTTTTTTCATTATTATCTTTAAAGTAGAACTTTAATAAGACTAGGCCCAGCTCCTGTCTTTATAGTCCTTCGGTAGTTTTGATAATAGCAAATGAAAATCAAGCAAACTAAAAGTAATTTTAATTAGTATCATAAGTATGTATCTAGGTTTTTTACTCAAAAATGTGTGACGTAACTATGCATAATACTGTCTCTTTCCATAACAGTGAACAATCATTTGGATGAACAGAATTTTTTGCATAATTTATAACACAATTTCAATACCTGCTCTTCACTAAAATATAGTGGACTATAAATAAATCGCCAGTATCAGTCGAGTTTTTTTTAAATATAGTATTTGGTTATTGATAATTCGCTTAAAAAAATTCCTATGAATTTTTCCACTACTCGGAAGTTAGATGAGGAATTGAGTTAAGAATATCGTAAATTAATTTCTGGTAAAATCGTAGTACTCCGTTCGCTAGTACGCGGAGCATGCATCGTACTAAATGCATTAGTCGAATTAGTCCACTGAGGCATGGCAAAAAATTCAATTTGCCTTCACGTTGTGCAACCGAGAAAAAAATGGGGCTGGCCGGTAAAAATTATATCCATTTTTCCGGAAAGCCTGTTCGAGAATAATAGGGGTACGGACGTTTCACAAATCGGATTAATATTCGCCTTACAGGGAATCGTTAATAAGCCTCCAAGATAATGGTATTAAAAATATCTAAGGATTAAGGAACTCTAGTTCCTCCCACTCAGCCTAATAAATCCATTGCTAATAAAGTTTATTTTCTTAAGCACCTCAGTATTTTATTTTGTATTTTTGGTAGCAACAAAGCTTACAGGCAGCCTGATAGTTAGGGGACACAGTAGTCTAAATACACTTATGTAAGTACAGTACCACAAGTGCGTTGCGACCCATTTAGTACAAAACCATTGAATACTAATCTTACAATACTTCAATTTAAAATGCTACAGACACCTACATTTTTAATCGAATTCATTTTTAAGAATCACATTATAAAATTTTATTCAAGTGTTAAATCATTGATATAATGTCAAAGTTAACTTTACGAAGATTCAATCTTTTTTTATTTATGTTAATTTTATTAGAAGAGCAAAAATAAAGCGGGTTTATTCCATACCTGAATGAGCTTCATACTTCCAGACTGTTCGATATCGTTTTTTAAGCTTTTAGCAGGCTCAAAGGCTTTGTGTATTGGAGTTAAAACCTTATAGGTACATATAGACGAACACATAGACTTAATTACTACGTAACATTCTTCATTTGGGACTGAAGACTAGAGTTAGACGTATAAAGAAGGATTCGTATTTTAAAAGTGGTTTCAATAGCTTCATTGTCAACCATTTTTTCGACTAATATACTGTTGCGTTGAACGTTCCCAGGTTTCAAAAGAGCAAAATGTTTTAATAAATAGCCGAAATTCTGTTTTAACACTTATATACATAGAGCTAGGACAAACTGATCACTACCAACAGATTTTATTTGATTCTACCTCTTAACTCTGTAGAGATTTTACCATAAAAATATTATTCGATGACAAAATCTCGAGGTTTTAGTACAATATAAATTCATCAATGTGTATTAGTTCCAAAATTATTACATTACGTAACTCACAAAGCACTTTACCATTTTTTGAACAATGGTCACATGGCGTAGTGGCGCATACGGAAATGTTTAAAGTTAAAACAAAAAAGGGCCTTCAAGGATTTCTTCGAGCAAAGGGCTAAAGAACCGGTATAGAGAATAAAATGAATTAAAATTCAATATAAAAAATCCGATATTGTATTAAAAATGATATAAGCTTGCCTGAAGTAGGTATCCTCAGACGTTTTTATAATAATAAATAGCCTTAACGTTAGGATAATATTTTCGACTTAAGTCCAACTCTATTCTTGGCTTATACTGAGAATATATTTATAATTATAATTAGACCACAACTAAATATGGCTTACAAATATATAAATCGATGTCCTTATTTACAGTCTATGTACCTATATATATGAGTACACTAGATTACAAAGGTCAATGGTTAAATCATCGTTTATAACTCCTGGCGATAAGGATATTATCACCGCTGGGGAATATACGTATGTACATACATGTAAACCAATTATAATTGTACATCGCATTATTAATACATTTTATTGTGCACGTATTTGCGCACGTTGCTGGTTGGTATGTTGTCATTTGATCGCATTTATAAATAGACGTGTAATAACTAAGAACTTTTAATTATAACATAAATTTTCTTAAGTTTAATTCTGCAGTAATTATCGCGATAATAATGAAGTGTTAAAATGAGAGTTGAGTCGAAGTCAGCTGAAACAATAAATATTACGTGTATTATATTTGCATGAAAAAGTAGTCTTAAGAGTTCATTGACACATAGGTCCTAGGCACACATGAACCCGCGAATGGCAACCGCATACATTACTGTACACATTATGCGGTTGAAGCTATAAAATGGATCCCTTGACGTTCGAAGGATTTTTACAAACGCGACTAAATCTAAAGCGGGCTCTCAACCGCGATTCTTTATCACTTCGAAGCGTTTATATCACATTACAACGTTACCCAAGACTTATGATGATTTCCTTACTTTTCTTCTCTTATTTTATATGTTTATATCCCTAAGGCGTTATTTTAATGCCTACGTGTCGTAAATTTAGCGCAATAAAGTTTACATTTACATGATAATTTGATATAAAACTTGTATTTACATTCGTTACGCTTCTATTTTCCATTGAGTGGTTGTAGGATTGCCTCGTAAAATTTAATAGCAATCACCCCCTTTAAGATTTATGCCTTCGAAAAAATCACATTAATGCCAGTAGCGTGTGAACACAATCGTAAAACTGTCATATGAAAAATAAAATAGTTATTGTTTTTCCTAAATGCTAAATATTCATGTAAAATTACAATATTGCTAAAATTATCAATTTCCTTTTTTTAATTACTGCGTAATTCTTTTAGTAATACGAGCATTATTTTGTTCCGATTGACCTTAGTTTTGAGACGATCGATATCGATGATTGATTGATCACGTGTATTTCATACGTTTTTTGAGGGCAATAGCGATGACAGCCCTACTTAAATAGTTCCAATCGAATTGATTTTAGTATCTTTACAAGTTGACGTGTCGAGATAATGGAGGCCAGTATATTATCAAGGATATGTCATTTGAAATGTTAGTAGAAGCTATTAATTTTTTGTGATCACATTGTGTTGCATCCACACATGCGCATCTACGCAATATTTTTGCGCATGTGTGTTCATTGTCGGATTGTCGACGTCGACGCCCGCGCAGTACTGGGCCCAATGTCACCTCCCCAACCTTGGCACGGCGGGTTAATCTTCAGGTTGATGACCGGTTTTATAGATTAAGTACCTACTACGTATAGGTGGCGAATCATTCGAAACACACCTTATAACACGTGCGACGTTCAAAGATTAAGACAAAAAATGGTGGATGCACAAAATGGACGAGCCGACAAAAATATTGGCAGGTCATTCTTTTTTAGGACGATACCAAATTGCCGAAACAAATTCGATTTAGATAATTGTCACCTTCGAAATGCATGATCTCTGTAAATTAGCACTCGTCGACGCTAAACGGCTTCGTAATGCTTAAAATTTTGAAGGTGATCCCCGAGCGGGATCATTCTAGTAATTTTAGGACAATGCATGTATTATTTTATCATTTGTTGAGTATTTGATGTTGAGATATCGCTTGGTAGAAAATTGTAATCAGTTCATTAACCTGTCGTTAGTTTTGATTCAGAAGTGCGCTGGGAGTCATTGTTATCTGTAGATACTGGGCGGACGTACCGTCTAGTCTTGTAGACGATAGGTTAGTTATCAAAGTCGCAGATCTTCATATTCGTGTCCTACTTTCCATTGTTTTTCAGCAATACACAACGATTTAGTTATCAAAGGAATTACGACCACACCCATATTTTTTAACTATGCACGTACATTCTTGTATTTTCCATTAAAATTTATGAGTAAGCGTAAACTGATACATTTTTGATAAAACATTTCTGTATTCCTATTAGTTCTTACGTATTTGACCAATGAACTTTTCTCGGTAAAGAACACAAATGTAAACATTTAAAGTCATGCTAGACATGATTCTTACCAACATGCGCTTACCTTTGTTTTAAATGATAAATCACATCTATAAATAATTTTCTTCATTCCATCCGCAACGATTTAAGAATGCAAGAATAACTAGACTCCTTAGTCATTTACCTTTTCGCGTTGTACATGATGAATCAACATTCAACTGAAAAAAGCGCGCCACTACGGTAATCAGCCACGTATTTTGTTAAAGATTTGTCTCTTTATTTCTAATATTATACTCAAGCTTCTATTATCTAT